AGGATGTAGGTTTATCCTTCTTCTTAGGCTGATTACTTTCCAAATTCTTATCAGACTTACCTGATTTTTTCGGATTCGGTGTATTTTTAGCCTTCGGTTTGATTTGTGCTTTCTTCAATTTAGGAATGGAGTGTTGACACCATTTCAATTCCTTACCGTCAGGTACGAAAAACTGTGGCGTATCTAAGGCCCTTAGTGTGGTCTCCCAATTCTCGAAATAGGCCACAAGTTTCCTCCGTCCTTTACTTGTTTGAATGATTTTAAATGAGCTAGCACCGCACTTAATTAAAAATTCACATGGTTTACGGTCCATCCACAAGATAGCCATCGTCATATCCTCCAGAATGTCATGAATAACGGCTTGGAACTTTTCACGTTGTTTTCTTTCTTGTAAAGTCCAACTCGCTGGGAACCATCTAACGGGTATACCTCCCAGGTCTGTCGTCCAATATTTATTAAACTGGGGAAGGGCAAATGAGGAAAGTGCTATTTTGACTCAAAGAGTCTGATACTTATGTTGCCGTTTAACGGAACATTTAATAGCGTTCCCCCAAAATTTTAACTCTGCTATTATTTTCTGCAGGTTCCAGGTATACGGGATATCGTAAACTATTATGTCTCGGATTCGCTCTTGCTCCTCTCCGACAGCTTTGTATTCTGTCAGTATCTGTGTAGCCTCCAGTTCGGATGATTTCTTTCCCTTATGGGAATTTTTGGCTGGTGTTTTGGCATCAGCTTTTGCCTTTGTTGATTGGTTCGCAACTTGTTTATCATCTGTAATACGCGCCTTTTGTTTATCTTTCTTCCGGGAATGTTCAGGTATCCCAGTTTGATCAACGGGGGTCATTACTATATCAGGCATTGATGGAAGCTTGATAGGTACTGGATTATCCCAAGACTTGAACGCAGCATATAGCGCTATAGAAAATATTAGCGAAAGAGTGGTGGGTTGTATATTCGTAGCTTGAGCTTGTGAAGTGAAGTTCGCAGGGTTGGCTGTTTCGCCAAACTTCTGTATCAGTAACTGGGCTTTATCCTTAGGTACTGAGGGGTTTTTTTCAAATAAGTCCTTGAGGAAACCATCCTGTACAAAAGAACTTAAGTGGTGTGTAAAAGTTTGAAAATAAGTTTCGTTAAACTTGGAAACGAAGTCTAAAGCTTCTTCATTTGTTGTTTGGCTCTTATCCATAGACATTTTTATATTTATGTAATAAAATTTAATAAAGGGGATTATTTTTTAAAAAAAATTATTACGCAGAAATTTTCATAAAAAATGTATTTGGAAAAGAGTTTTTTTTCAGTCTCGCAAATCCACAATTCTTTCTTTGAAGCGTGTGCGTCTTCAATAATGTTATTGATCACATGAATTGGAGTGTTTGTGAAACCTCCTGAGGCCTGCGAAATTTGGTCCTTTGAGGACATCGTGTTGTAGTAAGTGCACACTCAGTCTTTTAGTGATAATTTTTACTGTAAGTTTCTTTAAACATTTCCATTCCTTCAGTTTTGGGATTGGAAAAATTTGTGATGTTGTCCATTCCTCTGAAAAGATGGCAAACGTCTAAAACAGTCTTGTGCCTTGTCGCCAGCTTTTTTAATAAGTTTGTACCCTATATTCGATAAACCTGGTACTGATGAGTCATTACATTCCTTTAAGGTAGCAAACCATTCATCGACTGTAAGTTGTTCCATTATATCTTTATAAATATCATCGTTGATAGATCCAATCGGCTCATAGATGTCACTCCGCTCTTTTGAGATTGTTGATCGAGTTGTCTGTTGTGTTGTCTTGAATCAGTCTGTCCATGACAATCTTATCTTTATGTCTATTTAATAAACTGTTGAGCATTTTGGTTTGGTTATTTTGTTTCATAGAAGCTCTTTTATTAATAAAATCCTCAATCAACTTGTTCTGCGCAGATGTTTGATGTTGTTTAATAATGTTCATAGTTACTGTCCACGCATCTTTAACATGGTTTGCCCAGGCTGCATTCCAAACTGCATCAGGGGCATTTAATTTGACATTGTTGCATTGCTGATTGATGTGATTAATATATGTAATAGGTATGGGTTGACCCATTAATCTCTTGCATGTTAAATACATTAAACAAAGTTGTCTTAACTGCACGTACAAGTGTTTTGGGATTAGTAAATCTACTTTTTTCTTTGACATATTTGCGCCCATACGAACTTTTTTGTTTGGTATAGAGCTAGTTGCACATTTAAGCATGTGTCCTTTAATAATCAACTATATCCTATTGAGATCCTGTATATCATGCTAAGGCTGGTCGAGGATTTTCCAGAGTTCAGGATCCTTAAACAATTGTGCGTATTCAATTTGTATTTGTCCCATTTTTCTTTATTCATATCTGCGTAGTTGAAAATTATTCTTTCATTGTTCTTCCTTGCACAGGTTGATCTTTTATAATTTCTAATAATATCCGACATGTTAACAATGCAAGTCACTATGTTATGGTCACTAGAAGTGCACATTTGTGCATCTATGATCGTGCTGTGTAGTAATTCATTACACCAATTAGGACTCAGCCATATATAATCTATATGAGTCGCATTCATGCTGTTAGACCATGTGAATTTTCTGAGATCAGGGTTTAGCTTCTCTAAATGTATCGATAAAACTGTTATTATTCAAAAAATCTAAAATTTTGGTGTCCATATATTTATCGACGATGGCATTAAAATCACCTGCAATGATCATAAATTATATAATTAATAATTACTATTTTTTAGATTTTTTTACAAATAATGTACAAGTAATTATTACATGCATGCTTGCTGAACAAGCCAAAAGGTTGATTGCACTTGAATGGTTTCAAATTGATGTTAGTTTCAAATGAGTAAAAGGAGAGTTGAAATAAATACATATGATTCTAATCATCATTTAAGTAAGTGAATTTTTGTTTTTTTTAAGTTCAATTTAATAAATATATTAGAAAAAATATATAACTTTTATTTTAAAGTATTGTCATTTTGTAGAGTTTTCACAAATGTTTTTACAGCTGAAGGATATCATAGGTTATTTTCATCTTTGTTCCAAGTAATTTATGACAATACATTAAGTTTCAACATATTTACAAAGAAGGTATTGGATGTATTTTGGCAGATTTAGATAGTGCACAAGCCAAAGGTTTAGGATTAGCTTTACATGATCTGGATTATGAAAGAGATTGGAAGACTCACTTAACCTTTATTTTTAAATCTTGTCTTGTGCACTTTGAATGGTATTTATTAATTTATTAGTTTATAAACTTTTAAATGTTTGCATTAATTTATTTATTTATTTTTTTCAAGTAATTTACATCATAAAGCATTTGAAAAGAACACAAAAAATCTAATAAGACAAATTCCTAGTGCATCTAGTATAGTAAAGATGAAGTAAATATTCTGTTACAACAAATAAATGATAGAATAGAAGGTATATATTAAATTATTTAATACTATAAATCAAGTAATATATTATTTTAAATAAATATATTTTTTTTTTATAGATTAGTTAAAATATTATAAACAACTATACTTTTCGTCAAAATGACAAAATATTAATTAAATTTATTTTGACAGATGTAATTAATTCATAGTAATTTTAATAAATAGTGAATTGGTCCGTTCACCAAAATATGACATAGCGGAGAAGTATATAAACAACCATATGTATTGTTCTCTTTAAATCAATTTATTTCAAATATTGATCATGAGATTTGGAGGAAATACTAATAATGCAGAAGCAGCTCATTCTATGGTAAATAGAGATAGAAAGCAATTAAAATTACTATCAGCCATTTTAAGGTGAATTATTTTATATTTTCTTTGATAATTTTATAAGTTATCCCAATAGTAGATAAAATTAGGATGATGTATCAGTTACCAATATATCTCATATGGTCAGTTCAGTTTTGATAGGCTTCAAGAAAGGAAATACGAAGAGAAAAGAATGCAAAAAATAAAACAAAAAATTATTTATTTCATAGTGTGCTTTATTTCATATTGTTAAAATTATACAAATACATTTATTTTAAAAACAATAAATATAATCTATTTAATGAAAGTTCAGTACTTCTTTACTAAGAAATAAAATTAAAAAGTGGAATGAAAAACTGGTACATCAAAAGTATACAGGTTAAAGTGTATAGGTTAAAATAAATAAATCATCACATGCTCAATTAACCAATCATGTAATATAAGAACCAAATAAATGTCAATTCAAAGAACAAGCAGGCAGACAACAGAATATTTTGTATCACTGGGACTAAAACTTATACAGTCCTCCATTTAAGAATGTCTGTACTAATTTGTATTACTGTACAGTACTAATTTATATTCAATCCAGGGTATACCCTATGATTAAACATATCATACTACTATCCACCAACCTACCACCATATATTACTT